GACAACTGAGTACTGCATTTATAACAAGTGCGAGAGTCAAAAGTGTTATAGAAAAATGCCATTTGCAGTAACATCAAAAACCATTACATACTCTGGGATAAACTTATTAGCAAAACAATTTTTGAGATATGTACACTAAGAACTACATGATGTTACTTGGTGTAATTAAGGGAGTTCTAGATATTTTGAGAGATTTTATGTTCATGGATTGGAGAAATTGTTAAGGTGACTGTTCTTCCCAGATGAATTTTAGATGAAATGCAGTTCTGAATAAATGCTAATGGATAATTTTGTGGAAATTGACAAGCCGACTTTAAAATTTGTATGGGAATGTTAAGACCCTAGAATAGCTTGAACAAGTATTGAAAAGAATAACTAAGTTGAGGATCTTGAGTTTTTTTAATATTTTTTTTTTAGTCGTAGTTGGATACAATACCTTATTTTATTTATTTATTTTTTTATGTGGTGCTGAAGATCGAATCCAGGGGCCTTGCACATGCTAGGCGAGTTCTACCATGAGCCAAAACCCCAGCCCCTAAATTGAGGATCTTAAACCACCTATTTTGAAGACCTAGTTCAAAATTTTTTGACAAAATATGCCCAGGTCTTTCAGTGGTACAGTTAGGTCTAGCATGATCTGTAAAAAGACCCTATTAGAAACAGCAAAACAAAAAATGAACTTTAACCCTAACTCATGCCATGTCCCCAAATTAACTTAAAATAAAACAGGCAATAATATACCTATATGCAGAAGCTGAAGGTATAAAACTTTTTCAAAATAAAATGTAAGTCTTTTGGTAGAATGATTTACAACCTGGGCAAACTTAATGGCACATGCCATTCAAGAAAAAAATGATAAATTGGATTTCATCAAAATTAAAAGCTTGTACTCTTCAAGACCATTAATAATAGAAAAAGATATGAGCCAGGGACTGGGAGAAAATGTGCACAGTATCAGTCCAAAAAAATGCATATCTAGGACAGGCATAACTCTTACATCTTAATGAGGCAAACATCCCAGTTTTTAAACTTTGAACATATATCTGTTTTTTAAAAAAGATACCTAATTGGGCCTGGGGTGTAGCTCAGTATTAAGGTCACTTGCCTAACATCTGTGAGGCTCAGCACACCTTTCAGTCCCCAGCACTGCAAAAGAAAAGAAAGAAAGAAAAAAATACTCCCAGGTATCTAATTGAACAATAGATATCTTTTTAAATGAATGAAAAGCAATTCAACATTATTAGTCATTGGGGGAAATGAAAGCTACAGTGTATTTATAGGATAATGTATATTAGATAGGAGAAGTCCTGTTCATTTCTCTTGTAAGTCACTGTTTATTTAGCTGACTCTAATAAAAACAGTATTTGGAACTACTTGAAACTCTTGGTGACTTTGGAAATTATTCTTGTTAATCCCCTCACCACCACAGATTGAGGCTACAATGCTTGTTTGTACATCAAGATGCAAGGTAGTCATTCCCAAATATGAGCTCCTGCTTATCAAGCAGGTTTTCAGCTTAATGCTGGATGTGAGGAGTCAGGTTCTGTGGGCGGGGCCCTAATCTGCATTTCCACAAGCATTCTAGGTGTTTTAGATTCAGGTACACCACAAACCATTCTTTAAGAAATACTGGGCTGAAAAGTGCCTTTTGTATAGGTAGTAACTGATCCCAGGAAAACACTTTGGATTTCCTAGCTTACAAAAACACCTGATGCTCCTAGAAAGTCCTCTTGGGAGTTGCCTGCTTAACTTTGACCTGACAGTTCACCAAGCAGCGTGGACTATTTCCCAAAGGATTTTATCTATCTCCCCAGTTGCTTCCTAGCTCAAAGTCAGAAAATAGTCTTCATTCATTTCCTTATCCCCAAATAGTATTTTAGCAAAAAAAAAATTTAAAACAATATGAGATTTCAGAATAAATAAAGCATAACAGCGTGCATTGTGCCCTTATAATGTCTTGAATCAGTGGAGGGTGTCCTTTCCATCATCTTCCCTGGTTTATTTTCAACGTTACTTACTTGCAAACATTTGCTTTCTGTTACTCAAGCACTAAGCCGTGTCATGCCTTATCTAAGCACAGCAGCTCCTTCTCCATCAGCTGTGGATACATGACAGCTATGTTATTGCAGTTTGGGTTTTGTTAAACAAGATTATGCCTGTGTCAGCTTCTGTTGACCCACTTAAATATTAAACTGTTCTTTAGATTTGGATCTGCTATTGTTCTGAAATATGCATTTATTTATGAGGTTCATCTTTTATGCATTGTGTCTTCTTTCTTACAGTCTATGAGCATTCTGAAAATATCAGAGTAAAAATTGATGGGCACCACTTCTTTGGAGTATTTTATGGGAAAACTTAGCACAAAGCATAAAAAAAGAAAAGCAAGATCTAAGAACCTGAAAGGAAGTAGAATTGTCCTTCCTTACAGATTATTTGTCTCCAGGGACAATCCAGGAGAGTGCCCATTGTGGCAGTACATATAGCAAGAGTGGAGTAATGTTAAAGGAATCTAGACAGACTGTTAAAACAGACTGGCCAGTGTGACTGATGGTAAGGTCAGTACATGAACATCAGTAACTTCATGCACACAGTAGTTGTGTATATCCACTTGCCTACTTGACAACACCGTCTAGATACGCCATCTCAAATTAAATGTCTGAAACATTTTAATACCTTTGAACTTCCTCCCATCTACCCATCTGTTTCCCAGCCCCTCCTCCCATGTCACAACTTTGTAGCCAGTCAGAATCTTATTAAGTCATCCTTGATTCTTTTTTTTTTCTCCTCTCACAGTCAGAGTTCAGCCATTGGCATAATATGTTGTGTCTAACTTCCAAAGAGTTTCTGAAAACAGTTGCTTCTCACTTACCTTCCCTTGTGGTCACTTGTAGACCAGAGATGTACTCACCTCTTGTCTGAAACCCTACAGCAGCTCCCTGCTTCCTCTCCTGGGCTCCCACAATCTGTTCTTCACACAGTAGCCAGAATTAAGCTTTTCAAGTATCAGGGCGTATCACTTATTTGCTCAAAACATTGTAGAGGCCATTAGTTACACATGGACTAAAGCCATGCTCCTACAAGGAGGTCTGGTGTCAGTGCCTTGGCCTCATCTCCTGTCCCTCTTCCCCCCTCTCCCCTTCTCCTTCCTTGTGCTCGGTCCCTTCAGCCTCCTTGGTCTTCACCTTACAGATGTATCTCCACTTCATCAGTCTCCACCATTCAGATCTTGGCTCTTGGCTCTCTGAGAGAGGTGTTCTCAGTTCTAACCATAGCACCCACTGTGTTTATCTTTATTTTTTAATTAATTGCTTGTTTGTTTAGAGTCCTGGAATTGAATCTAGGGCCTTGCACATGCAAAGCAAGCACTGAGCTCCTTCCCCAGCTCCCTTTATTTTTAATTTTGAGACAGGGTCTCACAAAGTTGCAGAGGCTGGCCTCAAGTTTGCAATCCCCCTGACTCAGCCTCCTGATTTGCTGTGATTACAGGCATGCATCACTGTGCCTGGCTTGATTTATCTTTATATCCCATGGCACTTTGTGCTGAATAAATGGGGTATTCACTTTTTTACCTTGCCTGGCCACTTCAGACATTTCCATTTGTGACTTGCAGAATAGACTCATGGTTTTGTGAGAAGAAAAAGACATTTCTTAATCTTGTTTGTACCTCTGGCATCTAACACAGTTCGGGTTTATATGTGTGAATGAATAACTTAGACAATTACTTTATGCAGCACTTTAGTTTTTCTTGATTCGGATTTCGTGTGATTTTGAGTTTAACACTATTAAAACAGATGAGCTGAACAGCATCTTGTTTTGAAGAAGTCAAAGAATTGTTCTGTTGTGCACAAAGAAGGGCAGAAAGTAAGAGGGCATAGATTTTGTACCTACCACTGCGCATGGCAGCCCATTTGCAAGGAACTGTGCTCTCTTGTCCCGGTGTGTTTCGTTTTGTGCATAAGTGAAGTGTAGTCTTATATTTGATGTTTTCTTTCTTTTCTGTTCATATATAGAAAGAGATGATCAGTCAGCACAGAGGAAAACTCCAAATTGGTAGGGCTGAAAGTACGGTTGGGCTGTTACTTCCGGCTCAATACTATCAGGACTATTTAATCTTAAATATAAGATTGAATTAAAGCCAAACTTCCTACATATTGTGGATGTCCTTGTCTATTTCTGCTGCCTTTCCTGTGCGTCCTGAAGGGAATCGCTGTGCCATCTTGGAGATTTGCGCTCTTGTGAAATCTGGCTGTGGTGAAAATGAAGCCCTTGGGCCTCACAGAGGGCTTTTGCTCGGGCATCATTCCTTAGGATAAGAAGAGCCAAACCTGCCTTTCAAACGGACTGCATTTCGAACTTCAGGGTACAGAAGCAGCTGCCTTTAGGTACGCAGGCACTCCCTGCCCCATCAGGGTTGGATCAGGGTGGTGTCTATGGCTGCTATGCAAAAATCTGGCTTACTGAGAATGTGCAGTGCCAGGTGGGGTGGCTAGGAAAGATACTCATCTTAAGCGAGAACATCACAGATCAGTGTGTTCCAAACTCCCAGATGGGATAGATGTTTTAGTTCTTAGTTGATTTTTTTGTTGAGCCCTTTACCATTGTAGTCATAATGGGATCCTAATTTTTGTTTCCAGATGTCTGTCAAGCATATGTAATTGTTTCAGTTACTAAGTATTCATCATACGTCTATCAAAAATCCAAATGAACATATTAAAGCATACTGTTACCAATTATTTCAACCAAATAAATTTCACCAGTCTATCTGAGCATTTCCTATTTTCACAGTTAGATAGAAAAAGTATTTCCCTTTTTAAATTTTTTTTAAAGATACAATGTCTATTGATTTCCTCTCATTAAAAAAAAAATCAATACACTAGGCCCCACTTTCCTTAAGGATTCCCCACTTTTCTCAGTACAAAAGCCAAGCATTTTGACTACTGTTTAGGGAAATGCGTTTTTTGAAGAACTGCTTCTTAAACTCTTTTTCTTTTTAATTACAGTTTATCTCTGTACCGGGGTAATTGCAGGCCCATCAGATTTGAGCCACCAATGCTGGATTTCCATGAACAGTAAGTTTAACATTTTTGGACTCTATCTTCCTGTTAAACTATCATTTTATATGTATTTGTCTTGCCTTTGGCCTGTGTTATCTATGTAAGAAAATTATGTTCAAGTCACCAGGAAACAAATGTTGAATCTAGTTCAATACTAGGAAACAACTATTAGGAGTCTAATATAATAATACCGACTGAGAACGTTTGAAAAATACCCCCACATTGCACTCTTTGGTTCAGAGAATCTTATCTTCAGAAGCAGCATGAAACTTAATAGGTTAACTTTTCTGATCAGCACTTTATTTCCTTTCTTATTATTTAAAAGTTTTTTTATGGGCAGAACAATAGTGATTTTACTACTGGAAGTCTAGGCTAAGGAAATAGTATTTGCTAGACGCATATGCTTTTTTTTTTAAGACACCGCACTGGGTTTGAACCCAGGGGTGCTTTACCACTGAGCTATAGCCCCAGCCCTTACTTTTTACTTTGAGACAGTGTCTCACTAAGTTGCTGAGGCTAGCCTGAAACTTGGAATTCTCCTGTCTCAGCCTCCCTGGTCACTGGGATTACACATGTGCGCCGAAGTACAACTTGTATACCTCACCAAGAGAGAAAGTATCACCAACCCAGAAAGGCCAGCAAAAGCAGATGCTACATACAGACCCAGTCCAAGAACAAAACTGCTTCCTTACACTGTCCTTATCGCTCACCTTCTACCTCTGGGACTCGGGTTTCACACATTTCAGAAACTTACGGAGAAACAGGGTTTTACTCTATTGGGCTCCAACCCGATTAAGCAGGTGGATGAGGAGAGCACCTGTGCCATCAGTCATACCATCCTCAACTCCACCTCCTTCCTGGCCTCTGCCTCTAGGCTCTCACCCTGACCCCTCCTCCTCCAAATTAGTTCCTTTCCTTTGTTTTCTGGACATGAAGCCACCCATCCTGTAGGTTGGCCTATGAGCTTTTAAAGAGCAGGCTGTAGAATTTCTTCTTCTGTCTCCAGAAACTGCCCCCCTGCCTGCCCCCAACGAGAAGCCCAAAGGGCTCTGGAAGCCAGCGAGTGCCCCCATCCCAAGGTCTTAAGAGAGGGGTAGTAAGGGGTGAGAATCGAGAGACTGGGCAGCCCAGGTGAGCTCTTTTTTGGGCRGGGCCAGTCACAGCAGTGCCACTTGGTAAGTTAGCAGAAGTTTAAAAGGGACAAGAGGAAGCCATGTATGTTACGGCTCCACTAATTAGAATCCCTGATAGGGTCGCAGTGAAGCTTGGATTTTGGTTCTTCATGTGTGCGTATGCATCTGGCAGTGTGTTTTACTTGGTGTGATCAGACTGTTTGGGCAATTTTAGACCTTTTTCCTTCATTAATATAAGTAATGCAGTGTACTACAAGCTTGTCCTAAATGAAAATTTATGTGCTGAATAGCAATCCTGTGAGTTTACCTGTTCCCTCATTCTTGGACATTTAGTTGTTTCTTTTTTCTCTTCATGCCATTGCTATAGTGAATGTCTATGCATAAAGGCTTCAGTTTGTTTTTTAATTTTTGAGATTGGTAGGTAGGTAGGTAAAGGTTAGACTATTTCCTTAGTCTAGGTTTCCAGGAGTAAAATCCCTGTTGTTAAAGTGTTGATGTRCATTGTCAAATTGCTCTTTTCCTTACTTAGAAAGGTAGTTTTATTTATTTCACTGCCATTTACTCAAGTATCTATTGTTCGATACTTGGATATCCTGATTCAATAGACGAAAATTACAGCTTTCTTTAATGCTATCAAAGTTGTACTTAGCTGTTTTCTAAGTTTAAATAATTTATAATTTAAAACCTAGAATAATCAGAATATATCAGTTAAACTTTTTCAGAATGATGGTAGGGCAGTTAGCCACCAGAATTAAAAGATATTTGACAGCAGGTCTTTAATGGAGATTGTATTCCCACAGAGATTCCACAGATTTGGGGGGCTGGAGTGCAGATAGAAGTTTGCATACTTAATTGTGCATTTCTAGATGTAATCAGTATTTGGAAGTAGTCATTATGTAAATTAACTTGTGTGAGGGTTTAAAGACCSTGTGTTCAGATAGGCCGTAAGTCACTATTTGGTTCTGTATGAGAACCTGTGGTTGGAAACGACCTTCACGTGGAGACACGGGACCTTTAGGAAGCTATTGGGTCAGGCGGGCTCTGCCTTCGCTGCTCTCTACTGAGTGGGACATCTTTCCCTGCTTGATACCTGCCTTCTGCCATGTTAAAACACTGCAGGGAGGACTTCCCAGTCTCAGGAACTGCATGGAGGTAGGTTTCTGTTCTTTATAAATTACCCAGAATGTGGTATTTCATCAAGAGCAGCCCCGAATGGACTAAGATAGACTCAGTGCTAAAACTGCAAGGAATATAGAGTTCTTAATCCACTTACAGAAATACGTCACCGAATCTCCTTACAAATGCAACATATTTAATGAAACAAGGAATATATTTGATGTATATCAGGAGAGTTCATTATTTTTCAAATCAAGACTGTTTTGTTTCCAGTGTGTTCTCCTATTCCAGAGTGAATCACATTAGAGACTGAGGAACTCATGCCAAGACTATGGCACTAAGCAGTATCTGTGGCACTTTGTCAAGAGATGTGGGAGAGGAGATCAGTGCATAGTATCAGGACTTTAGTCTAAAGTAGTGAGGGGGTTGTAGTGGGTGTAGCTCTTGCCTAGTTCTTGGTAGAGCATTTGCAAGTAGAATTCCAACTTTGAAAAACTTGGTACAGGTAAGTATTCTCAAAATATTCTTCAAAAATTATATGCAACTTGTGTTGTTTTATTTTTTGTTTTTTGTTTTGCTTCAGTATTTGTTTTTAGAGAAAGTTTTGTAAATTTTATTTTGAGATAAATACCTGAACTAAAACTAGAATATTTGTGCGTCCCCTCTCCCCCATCCATGTGTTGTAACTGTACTTCCTACGTGACGATGGTAGGAAAGGGGGCTCTGTAGGTGATTAAGTCCTGAGAGAGGGCAGGACTCTGAGGAATGGGTTGATGTCCTTGTGAAAGGCGCCCATAGAGCTGCCTTGCTCTTCCCACCATGTGAGTATAGCAAGAAGACAAGAGAGAGGGCCATTGCTAGACCCCAAACATGCTGGCCCTTGATCTCCGATTCACAGCTTCTCCAACTRTGAGAAACGTATTTCTGTTGTTTGTAAGCCACCCATTGTATGGTGTTTTATTAATGCAGCTGAAAGAACTAAGACCTTGGGTGCAGAAAGGCTTTAAATAATGGGAGAACAGTCTGAGAACAGCTAAATGGGAAGTGTATTTTAGCTCACAAAGGTAGAAGCAGATCTGTAGGAGCTAAGGGGTGTGGGCAAATGTGAACTTATGCATATAATGGTTCAGTTAGAGAAGTAGAAACAGCCAGAGATTCTAAATGTGTTTGTCAGAGTATGTATTTATATATATATGTGGAGGGTCTATCATAAGGAGTTGGCTTAATTTGGTCTAGGAACTAACTGGTCAAGTAAGTTGAGATTCTGCAGGGGCAGGCAGCCAGGAGGGAAAGATCAGGAGTCAGCTGGACCTCCCAGGGTAGGGGCTAAAGCTTACAGTCTGCAGGTGGGCCTTCAGGAAAGGCTCTGGGGAAGGGATACTGCTAGTCCAGCTGCTGTTTGGAGTCTCTCCACCCGCACAAAGTCTAAGCTGACTTTGAAAGGGCTTCCAACTGATTGACAGGCCCACCTAGAATAATATCCTCTTTGATTAATTTAAAGTGAATTGATTGGGTGTTTTAATTACATTTGCAAAATCCCTCCTAGCAGTACCTGGATTAGTATGTGACTGAATAGCTGGGAGAAGGGATACTGACACAGTCACCGCTGCCTGACCCCCATCTTGCAGCCCTTGGGAGAGAACAGGTATAACTCACATTAACCAGAAACAAGCTGGAAAGGAATTCTGGGGACTGCAGGTTGGTGTCACAAAGCCACCACATGGTTATAAACCCAGAGGTTCCTAAATTTAGTACTTTTATTGTAAAACATGGAAGGCGATAGGGTTGAAAAATTTGCTTAGTAATTTTAGAGCTGAGGTTCTTTTTATGAAACTTTACAGTGGTTTTAGGACAAAGAACATGAAACTGTACATTTTCACTGCCAAAAACAATTTCCATTGGCATCAGCAAGTAGCTGATTGCTGAAGGAGATCCAGAGATACTTTATGATACACCCTCTTTAAAGTATTGCGCCTTTTTTTCCCTCTCAGAAACGAAAAGCTTGTTAGATGGCTGAAGTTTTTTCCCATATTAACTATATTTCTTTCTGCCTCCAAACTTTCCTGCTCTTTCTTAAAGGAAGATTAACTGAAAAACAATCAGAGAATACCACAGCACAGAGTGGCCCACTTCACGCCTGTCGCCTCGTCAGCCTCTCCCCACTTCTCTTTTGCTACCACTCCAGCCTTTTCATTTACCTTTAGGGAAAGTGGCCCTGTCCCTGGCTCAGGAGTAAGTCCCATGAAATCTCAGTAATGAGCCCATTCTCATGATCAGTTCAGGGATAGACACACCCCAGTTTTAGGCATTTGTACCCAGAGACTTCTGGAAAGCCCCTCTCCCCCAAAGGAGACACAGGAAAGAAAGCGCCCTCTTCCTCGCAGGGACTTGTCTGTCTGTGGTGCCGGGAACTGTGGCCCCATCCTGCCACCAGTGTTAGAGCTGAGCAGTTTGTCTCACAGAATGGAAGAACAAGAAGGGCTGTGTCCTTGGCAGGCTTGTCCAGCTGCTGAGTTCACAGGCCCTGGGCCTGCCCGCCTTGGGTCTCTCTGTTAGGTGACACTTCTTAGTCACATCTTCCTTGATCTCTTGTGGAGTGCACAGTGCTGCTGACCTCTTCATCGCTCAGATCTTTCTCGGCCCCACTCGTGTGAACTGCCCTCTGCTTTCCTCCTGTGTCTAAGCCTCTTCTTCCTCCTCCTCGTTCAAGGGCTTCTGTCCCTTTACCTGTCCACTGCCTGCCTCTGCTCTCCCTCCTCACCCAAC